ATACCAGAGTGTGTTTTCTATGGGATGTACGAGAAGATCCTGCTGTTTCGTCATGACCAGACCTCTGAGAACGTGCTGCAGCTGCTCCGCTCCGCCTCTCAGATCCAGGAGGGAGACCTGGTGGAGGCCGTGCTGTCAGGTAGCTGGACTTTATTATAACCAGAGGTGGGAAGTAGTGGAGTCCAAATACTTTGTTACTGTACTTAAGTACATGTTTCTGGTATCAGTACTTTACTCCAATACTTATTGTTCTGACGACTTTTTACTTTGACTTTTTACATGTTGAACCCAAATACCTGTACTTTCTACTTCTTACATGTTGAACTCAAATACCTGTACTTTCTACTTCTTACATGTTGAACACAAATACCTGTACTTTCTACTTCTTACATGTTGAACCCAAATACCTGTACTTTCTACTTCTTACATGTTGAACACAAATACCTGTACTTTCTACTAGTGTTGCGCGGTGTACCGATACTTGAAAGGTACCGCGATACCTTGCTGTTAAAAACGTTACGATTCCTCCGTTTCATTAGTATCGGTACTTTAAGAATGACGGGGAAAAGTACTCCGGTGAGAAAGCGCCGTTTTAATAAGAGCCGTGTGTATTCAGCGCTCTGCTTCCACTCCCAGCACTGCAGCCATGCCTGCAGTCCCTCCCCTCTCAAGCACGCTCTAAGTCCCTCCCCTCTCAAGCACACTCTAAGTCCCTCCCCTCTCAAGCACGCTCTAAGTCCCTCCCATCTCTCGTGCACGCTCTAAGTCCCTCCCCTCCCCTTTAGTCTGAATGTGTGTTTGGTGGCGTGATCATTATTCTTTAGAGTCATTGCGTGCCTATTGATTTGAACACGATCCGTGTATCCATCATTTCCTGGTCTTCTCTAAAGAAGAGGGACCAATGGAAACGTTGTCATGTTGCCGTTGTTCAGCATGGAAACATTCTTTAGCTAACAATTACATTATTGTTCTATTAATATAAAGGGAGGTCAGGTACTCTTTAAAAGCAGCTGCTAGCTATGGGTACTTTTTACTGAAGTACACTTCAAAGCCTCTTTACTTTGACTTGAGTAAAGAAGTTTAGTCAGTACTTTTACTTTCACCAGAGTATTTTTAAACACGAGTATCTGTACTTCTACTTTAGTAAAGGATATGTGTACTTTAGAGTGGTGCAGCAATTACGTATTGTCATAGGCTGACACAGAACTGAGGGCTCCATCCCACTGCAGATTTTATTTCAGCATCGAACCAAAAACACGTTAAAAAACATTGACCTTGAGACCAGAAGCGGTAAACTGCTGACTAATTTGTGGGTATTAGGATTCTTTCTTGCAACACTCTATTGCTAAAGAACATAATGTGTGTTCAGGTTGAGTTTAAAGTAAACATGGGATGTTATTAAAGTCAACTTTATTGTCAATCTTTTATTTTGTGTGTCGAAATACTGTTTCCCACAATCCTGAGGAATGAAAAAAAATACACATAAATATATATACAAATATGTATACACATACATTCTCAACAGACACATTTATGCACACATTAAAAGACATCAATAAAAGCACAACAGTCAATATACAAAATAATCACTTCTAACCTAAACTGTACATTAGTGCAAAAGAATGTCCATAGCAGCGTAGAAAGTGTCTGGTGCTGGTAGTGTGTGTGTGTGTGTGTGTGTGTGTGTGTGTGTGTGTGTGTGTGTGTGTGTGTGTGTGTGTGTGTGTGTGTGTGTGTGTGTGTGTGTTGTCGGGGCGTCACACGGAGGTCACACGGAGGTCACACTCGCTGGCGTTGAGTTTCCAGGTGATGCTTCACCTGCGACATCCCACAGCCTCACAACATCACGACACACACTCTGTTCTGATGCTCAGACCTGCCCATGTGTCGCCATCACACGATCCACGTCACACACACTCCTACATGAGAGTGTGTGCGTGAATCACTGTGTGTGTCCTCGCCATATTTATTTGATGCCCGTCCATGTGCAGGCATGTGTGTGTGAGAATCTTTTTATGTCTCCCAAAATGTAGGCGTGTGATTGTCAGTCATTGGACTGGGTGTGTATGTTTGTATGTCTATCAGTGTGTGTGTGTGTGTGTGTGTGTGTGTGTGTGTGTGTGTGTGTGTGTGTGTCTAGCAGATTTGAAATTTTTCGGAAAAGTATCTGAATGTCAATTGAAGGGAAATGGGTAAATGAACTGGGAAACACAGATTTGGTTTTGTATCAGTTATGCATCCTCTACATCAGGGGTTCCCAACCTTTTTTCCCAAGAGCCCCCCAAATGACTCCTGTTGGAAGTTGCGCCCCCCCCCCATACACACACACACACACACACACACACACACACACGGGGGGGGGGCGGGCGCACCAGCGGTAATTAAAGTTTAAAAGTCTCAAAATGCTACAACTAGTGTCACAAACTGGATGAATGTGAAGTATGTTGTTAAAGGAGGATGAAAGCGTAATCAAGGAGCACTATTGGAGCGACTTTGATGGTTATTGGACTCAGGATTCATTCATTTGGATTCCCGCTGTATGAAGAAATTAAAGGACGGCGGAAGTGGAAACAATTCACAAAGGGATTAAACTGTTTAAAACACGTGCTCAAAGTAAGCCGGATTTTGCCGATGTGTTTATGTGGATTCAAAAGTCGTAAATAATCTACAAAATGGAGGAGACCGATCTGATCGGAGCAACTGACAAATAATCCAACTGAAGCCGGCATGGACAATGACTGTGTTTTAAAAATGCGCTTATCCAGACAAGCCCGGTTTGGACACTTTACGGGCAGAAGAAACATTTCTATAGAAAGAATTATACATTTCTGTCTTTTTATGCCTTTAATACTAACTTGAATTTTTATTAAAATTAATTAGTCAATTATTTTTTATATTTTATTGTAATGTAGAGACAAGGCTTTTAGTGACAATCATGTATTGCTTTACGTATATGTAAACATTTTTTAAAATCTAAATATGATATTTTGCCTCAAATCCTCTGAGGCCTGGTGCCCCCCCTGCGATCTTTGGCGCCCCCCCAAGGGGGACGCGCCCCCCAGGTTGGGAACCACTGCTCTACATTATGTATCTACAATACATACCTCAGAACCATACTGTTTATTGGAAATAGTCTAATGTTATTTTCTCATGGCTTACATTTGTCAAAATAATACAACAAATATATGCAGTGAGCCGAAAAGCATCACTTTGACATAACAATGAATGAAAAGTAGAAATAATAGTAATATTTGTGTTAAAAGAAGGTATTTTTAGACTCTTTATTGTCACTAGGTTGTTTCACACATTCAGATTATCCATTACTACAAAATGTTGTTCTGCAAAAGTCAAGAATCATAAATATAAAATATAAATTATAAGTAAGATATATGATAAAAAAACATTAATTAGTGTTCACAGTATGGCAGCCTGATACACACGTAAAATAATCCAGATGTGAAAAATAATGATTTCCATCTCATGTTAATGTATTCTGTCTGGCTGCCATCCAGAAACAAGTGTGTGTGTGTGTGTGTGTGTGTGTGTGTGTGTGTGTGTGTGTGTGTGTGTGTGTGTGTGTGTGTGTGTGTGTGTGTGTGAATTAAGGCTGTGAACAAGTTAGAAACAGATAATAATGTGTTATGCATAGTTGTGGACGTGTATATATATTTGTTTCCTTTTTAAATTGTATTTATTTTTCGTTGCCTGCTTGTGAATTGTAGTGTTTGTGTTCAATACAAACATTAATCAAAACAATACATCACAGGAAACCACAGTAGAGCGTTGAAGTCCCGTCATCCTCAGGGTTAGTGTTGATCGTAAACAACTGTAATCAACTTGTGAGCTGATTAAAAAAGAAAGGAGGAAGCAACACTGACTGACTCTCTGTGTAATATCGCAGCCAATAAAACCTGCGTAACGTTTGGGGAATTATCAGGAGTTGTTTTTGACCAATCAGCTCTCCTGGCAGTTGCTCCATGTTACACCATGACAAGTTAATTTCCTGTTTGTTTCTTCAACACTTGGAGCTGTCGCCGGTTCAGACTGAGAGCTGTTAACAAAAGTGTTTTTAGCTGAGTGTCAGGAGTCTGAGAGAGAGAGAGAGAGAGAGAGAGAGAGAGAGAGAGAGAGAGAGAGAGAGAGAGAGAGAGAGAGAGAGAGAGAGAGAGAGAGAGAGAGAGATAGAGAGAGAGAGAGAGAGACGAGAGAGAGAGAGAGAGAGAGAGAGAGGAAAAGTTAGAGGAGGGGTGGATGAAGAAAGAAATAATTATGAGTTAGAGGAAGGAACAGCAACACACAACTTCACTTTACGTACCCAAATAATATTTACTGTGTTCAAGGGCATTCAACCGCTGCTGAAGGTTAATCCAATGTCTCTGTGTCACCTTAAAATGATTACTGAAAATCAGCATTGGGAGTAACGCGTTACAGTAACGCAGTACTTTTTTAATTCAGTAACTCAGTTACCGTTACTACATGGCGCGTTACTCCGTTACTGTGTTAGTTTTTTTTTAATAGTCAACAGCCAGGCGAACAGAGATGAGAACTGTACTTAAGTACAGTACTTGAGTAAATGTACTTAGATACTTCCTGTGTCACATGCGGAGACGCGCTGTGGGCGTGTTTGTGTTGTTTACTAACAAGACTATCATGGCGGCGGCGGAGCTCAAGTCTAGTTTCTCCACCTGGAGATATTCTCACTATTTCACTTTTGTCGAGCACAAAGAAAAGAACGTTTTAGTTAAATGTAAGTTGTGTCTTGGCGGGTCAAAGATCCTATCTACTGCCCAAACCAGTCATTCAAATCTCTTAAAACATCTGCAAAAACAACATGCTGGGACGAAGCTAGTAGCTAAGACCACAGAGACTCAGCCGACGCCACTCCACCTCCACCTAAGCAACAGCGGCTGGATTTTAACCAAAGGACTGTTATCCAGGGAAAAGTGGATAAAGCCATTGCACGGTATGTTGTAGAACACATGCAGGCTATTGCTACAGTGGAGTCACCCGCTTTCAGGGAGCTAGTTAGCATGATAGCATGTCCGGGCGGCACACGGCATACGGGACGGAACACTTTTTCCAACTACCTGGAGAAAGAATATACAAAAATGGAAAGCCAGCTAATATCGATGCAATCCA